GAATACTCTCTTCAACTATTAAAAGTGATACATAATTATTAGCAGATTTATTAAAAAAAGTACTAATTTTTTCCTGTAAGAAACAGAATATGCTGGATTAAACTTCACATAGAATACCACTTTTATGCATAAAATTTTATTGTTCAATATCCAATAGAACAATATAAAAGTAGATTAATAATTATAGATCTAAAATATCTGTAATGAATTAATTGCTTTTGCAAATTTTAAATTATATTTATTTAATACAAGAGCAATTTATGAAAATATATAATAGCAAAGAAATCAAAAGAAAAAAAAAAAAATTTAATAAAACATTTAACACCTTATAACGCTGAGAATATTTATTAAATCACAAACGTTTTCAGCCTAATGGAATAGGCCATCATCAGATGACAGGCTATTGAACAAATTTGAAAATTGTGTTAAAACGGAACTTTCGAACATTACAAATTCAAAATTAAAATGTAGAATAAATTAACCAATCAATATACAAAATAACTATAATAAATAGATTGAAGCCATATTAATATAAATAACAAAATAAGGCAATATAAAAGAAAATAAAAACAAAAACAAACCTAAAAGATTAAATGCACAAAAGGATTAAATTCATAAAAATATACATCAAAAAGCATCACATTATAAAGGGCAGATAGGACTAAGAATTTGTGTGTTTTATCTGCCCTTTATAATGTGATGCTTTTTGATGTATATTTTTATGAATTTAATCCTTTTGTGCATTTAATCTTAAAGTTTTATTTTTGTTTTTGTTTTTTTTATATTGCCTTATTTTATTATTTATATTAAATATGGCTTCAATCTATTTATTATAGTTATTTTGTATATTGACTGGTTGATTTATTACACGTTTTAATTTTAAATTTGTAATGTTCGAAAGTTCCATTTTAACACAATTTTCAAATTTGTTCGATAGTCTGTCACCTGATGATGGCTTATTCTATTAGGCTGAAAACGTTTATGATTTAATAAATATTCTCAAAGGTGTTAAATGTTTTATTAAATGTTTTAAAAGAAGATGAGTTTGATATTCAATTTATTAACAAAATAATATTCCAAAATGTTTACTTCAGAGAACCAACAAATTTTCTCAAGAAAATCTCTTCTGAGAGAATTTGTTGGTTTCTTAAAGCAAGAATTTTAGAATATTCTTAATATCATCGTACAAGATTCGCAGTAAATTATGGAGATAACAAGATAAAGTAAGTAATAACATGATAGAAAAGAGACTAATAGATGAAAATATGAGACAGAGAGCTAGTAAAAACTCATCAAAGCAATTAATCTCTACTTTTGGGGAGGAGAATAACTTAGCCTGACAAGGTTTAATTATAGAAATTTTGAGAACATTTTCAGTTAGACTTTATTAACTAATTTTGAGTTAGATTTCCTTGAATTATGTCATTTAATTTCTGTTTTGTTATAAAACATTACATTTTAAGTAGATTGCCATAACTTCGTATACTTTATTCTTACTTTAAAAATAATATGTGTTATACCCAAGTTCTTAATAAATTGGATAAAGTGTAATGAATGTAAATTTTATATAAATTAAGAAATTGTAACTTTTTAAGAATTTCCAACTTAATCTAAAATCATCTGATTTAATAGTTTCAATTCTGATTCCAAGTTTAACTTTAAAAAAATAAAGAATATGGTAATTTAAATATGAATATTTAATGACATAGACAATAAAAACAGTTTAAATAAAATTAAAATATATATATTTATACATTTGTGATTAATTTTAAAGTATTATGCTTTCTTATTCTTAATTCAATCACTTTGTTATAAATTATTATTTAATAAATTATAACAAAGTGATTGAATTAAGAACTATCTCGGTTAAGAAAGAGAACTGTCAAAACTATCTCAGCAATGAAAAAGGTATGTTATAATTGTCTATTAACATAATTGCATACACACCTCTGCTTTCTTGGAGATCAAAAATGAAATGAATTTCGCTTTTGACATTAAAGAAGAGAGGTGTATATATTAAAATTATTGAATAGAGAAACTGGTCAACTATCTTACAATTGCTGGATTTTTATATTTTATATTTTTTTGACTGGAAAAAACAAAATAAAACTGCTTATAGAATATGAAAGTGTAACTCAAAGTTTTATTTGGCAAATGAATCAAGTATTACCATAGCAACATAAAACAAATGCATATATTAACATATAGATATTAACACCAGCTAACAACTATGAATTACAGTAACCTTATCTGTGCAAAAAAAAAATTCAATTAAGTAATTAACCAGAAATATTTAAAGCTCATAAACAAATCTGAAGTCCACAGCTTGTATTTTATGTCAAAGAGGAAAGAGTATGTATTTTGTTCATGTAAGTTCTATAAGTTCATGTAAGATAATCTGTCATAGGTGAAGATCTGCCAATGTAATTTTCTATATTAAACAGAAAATATTATATTAATTAAACATACTGTATTAGTTTATTATATTTTAAAGGGTTTACTTCTCAATTTTAATACACTACAGGGCACAATTCTAGGACAAATGTAGCAAATTGAGACTGGAATCGATCTGTAGAGCATATCAATAGGAACAAAAAAGTCAAAGGAACCATGCCCGTATGAGCGACCCTTCGCGAGATATAGGCCCCCCAAAATTGCAGCGCTTCGGTTAGGTTTGTTTCGTTTCTGTTAGATTAGCTACATTTTTAGTAGACGTTTCTTTTTTTTATTTTGTTCAAGTACTACTAATGAATCAATAACTAGATATTTGCATATAACATTACAGAATACATTCAGCGTTATAATTTCAAATATCAGAAATTTGAAGTTCCTAGCTAAATCTAAGGTAGGCTTACAAATCAACCAAAAATGTTTATTTGCCAAATAAATTCTCTGCTGGAAAGTGCAAAAAGTGCTCAGTTTTGTAAGTTCATTGCCCTTCCAGTTTCATATAATGCATTAATCCATCAAAACATTTTCTTACTGTCAAAAATGAAGTTTACATTCAACTCTGTTTAATTCTATGTGTCAATGCCAATCTACTTTTATACACAAATTATTAGCTTCTTTATATTTTAAATAATTTACATTTCTCTTTTGATATTATGCAGCCAAGTTTCATGTTTTAATATTTAAATTAGTTTTAAAAATGTCATTACATTCAGCAAAATGTAATTCCTTTACTTTCTGTCATAGGTAAAGAGTGCCAATGTAATTTTCTACCAAAATAAAAGCAAATATAAGCAAAATGGAGCATATTTTTACATATTATTAGCATAAATTATTTCATAATTATATGTCAGAGTATTTAATATGGAATTTTAAGTTTAAAACTAATAATTTTACCTAATATTCCTATATGACACTGTGACGAAGAATATCCATCAGTAACGACTAACACGTGTTAAATAAAATTCTTTTTCATTTAATTATAATTAATAACAACAACTTTCGTTAATTGAGAACGTGAAATACACTTATAAATTAAATTACGCACTTAAATTAATTTGTCACGATTAAATTTATTGTCGTGAATTTAAAATTTATTTCAATATGACTTTCATTTAAAAAATATATATATATATACTGTATATTTTTTTTTCAAATTTATTCACGTGGGAAAGTGACAATGGCCTACTTACAATGAGACCTCTAGTGGTTCTAATCGAAATTAAGAAATTTTTAAATAAATATTTTTAACACATGCAACAATAATAATTTAATTGCTTTGATAAAAAGTTTAATAATAATGTAATTAATTTTATATCGCATTTTTCATTAATAATATAAATATTTCCTTTCTTTAATACATCTATTTAAATCTAATTTTTGAAAAGGTCTGAAACAGTAATCTAGAGTTACCGTAAATACTACTTTTTTCTTTTAAACCCTTTCCATCTTGTGGGCACTTAGCGGGCCTCTTTTAGCAAGCCCATTATGGATTCGGCCAGGCCCACAATGGGGTGGCCGGGTGGTGAGGGACGGGGCCCGACATATCTGGACGGACTATCCCCGAAAAACCGTTCAATTAGATGTTAATTAATCAGATTGTGCAAATATTTTGCACTGACACCATACTGAAAACGTTCTGTTGGAATGTGTATTTACGGTTTGTAGCTTTGTAGAACACAAATCTAAAAGCTTCTTATCGTCATTTACCCTACATTTTCATTTCTTTAAGAAAATATTGATGGGAGGATATTAGCAGATTTAAATTGAATGCTCGTAAGGATGGCGTACTCGGGCAGACCTACAATGGAGTCAGCAGCGAGGTCAAGGAATAGGAACAGTACTTCAATCTGTACTATTCCAAATAAGTTATGGTTTTCTGGATTAGATTTGAACCAAGACTCCAGCAATTTGAAACATTATTGTATGGCCATATGGCAGATAACCGAATAATAAATTGGCTCTTAAAAGTTCCTCCAACTCCGGCTACTACGGGACTAGTTAATTTCCTACCGACGGTTGATATGAATATATGCCTATTCGTTTAAATTAATAAAAGCTATTTTCTGGAAGTATAGAGCCCGTCGCGTGCAATACGTATAAAATTTTGGTATGAAATGGCCTTTATAGATATCTTTTTGATATCCAAATTTATCAGTACGTTTTCTAAGAAATTTCTTTACATGCCAATTACAAAGTATTTTTCATACTTCACATTTCATTAATTTGAGATTGTAGTAACCAGGATTGAAAGAATTTTACTGACTCCGACACTACAACACGATTCATACACGATATACTCCATCATTTGAATTAAATGCTTCAATTTAGTTAAATGATTCTAGTTTCTCCAAAATTCGTAAATTTCTCATTTGAATTACATTGATTTAGAAATATCTTAACATTAGGAATAATAACGAAATATCTCGAACAGAAAAGCATTTAATTTACATACTAATCATAATTAAACATTATTTTAATTTGTCCAAAGCGTTGTAAAATTGCTACGATTTTAATTAATTTTTTTTGGAAATTAACTTATGAAAAACGAATTAGTCGTGTTCCAAATTCAGATATTTTTGTAGTAAATTCGGGAGTGGAAGTTCAAAAATCCCTAGAGGAAGTTTCCACATTTTCCTCAAATGTCTTCTGATAACGCATCGACAAAGATGGCGAAGTTCTGACGGTTCCAAATATCTTTCTCTCAAATTCCATATAATTCCTCGTTCACTCAAATCGACGACGAATGAACTGCTTTTTCTGACACACAATGACTTTCCTGGCGAGTACTTAGAAAGGTTAAACGTCAAATCTCTTCTTTGTAGCTGAGGAATAACTCGAAGTAACAGTTTAACAATCAGTATCGATCTCTGAAGTTGTAGATCATTTATAATGTATTCTGTAGGAAGAGATTTTACATTGCGCGTCCACAAAACTGAGATAGTATATCGAAGATAACGGGAAGGATTCAAATAGTATTTCCAGCTATTATTGAGTAAAATATTATCCGGCTCGATCATGGATCCGTGTTGAAGTAACAATTGAAGTAACCTCGGCTTACCTCTCAACACGGTGGAAACCCACGGTGGAAGCGGAGAAAAGGAAGAGATGGGCATATCCGAAAATCTAACGCCATTAATAGTCATTTTACAATTGTTTGCGTGACGAAGGAAATATATTATCTTGGCGTATTCATTAGAATCTACGTTGCAGTGCGCTATCGGAATTGGCCAATCGTCAGTTTGAGGTTCTTCGTTTATAAAGCTAATATCCTGATTGTAGACGATTGAAAAATGAGATTCGAGTTGGTAAATTCGATAAAGGACTTGACACACCAAGTTACTATTGGATAACCACCAATAATAACACAATTTAGCGGCGTGATGCAACATGCGGCGTTCTAATACTTCGCTGCAATGTCTTTCGTGTTTGAGTTTCTTCCAACGATCGTGTAAATTTAATATGGTCATTACGTGATGTTGGCCGTCGTCTTGCTCAAAATTCAACACGGATATGATTTCTTGACGTATAAAATGATCACGACGAAAGAAAATTTTGGAGGCAAGTGAATTCGTACAACGTTTACAATTGTATTGACCCATTGCGCCAATGTATTAAAATAATATCTTGTTAAAACAATTACTTTGTTGTTATTATTTCTTTAACAATGATTAAAAATTTGTTGAAACATTCTTAAATAAAATTAAATAGGCCTATTGAGTATAATTAATAAAGATGCCATATTAATGTTTGTAAATTAAGAACAAGAATATAAATTTATAAAAATTCGTTGTGTGAGGTGATTATCGAAGGCAGGATAGTACGTGGCCAAATTATTGCATGAATTTATCTGTAGTTAGTTAAATGGGTTATTTTTTATTTCAGCAGTAATAATTTACAACAAATTAATAATTAAATTTGCGATGTAATTTCGAGGAATAGTTCATAATAAAAAACATTTAACTATTATACAAAGAAAAGCTAGGGAATTAAAACGAGAGAAATAGATCTTAACTTTCAAGGTGTGTCCACAATATTTCCCAACCACCCAAAACATTTGGGTAATTGGAAAATTGACGAGTAAACTTCCAAAAGAAAGGAATTAGCCATCAAAAACGATGTTCACTTAAAAACAGAACACTTAGGTAATTAGAGAGACAACTCTTTTGCTGATTTACATTACATTCATAACTATAATAAAATTTTGGATAATTTTATGTAAATATTGCTAATAAACTGGATATAACAATTTTACTTCATCACCTAATACTTGCTGAGAAAAATTGTTTATCAAAAAGCACCAAAATTATTAAGCTTCAAAGAGGGTGAACAAAATTGTGCCCCCATACACTAACACCTATACATATAGAAATTACTTTTCTGTATGTATGGGTGTACGTTTCAAGGTGTTCTAAGTCCAAAAATATAAACCTTGAGGGTCATTTTTTGCCGTACTTTCCTCTGTTATATACAACCAGAAAGTAATAAGCCTTAATTTTTAATTAATCACTCTTGTATGAATTTGAATATGATCCTGTTGACATTCCCCCGTCAATATAAGTAGAATAAGTAATTCAAGAAGTAATTTAAAATTTTATTAAACACTTCTAGAATTAAAAAGCAATTCTTGTTTTATGTGTCTAGAACACGAAGTTAGTTAGTTGTTAACGGCATAAAAAATATGACATAATGAAATTCAATTGAAGAAATGTAAAAATTTATTCTTTTGAAATGTCATTATTATTATTATATAATAAGAAAATACAAATAGAAAATAAATAATTTCGAGGAATTTAGTTACAATATGTGAATTAGATTTTTGAATTAAATATTAAGCGTGATATATATAATATCAGTATTATCATATTTCTTATTCTTTATTATCAATAATTTATTAATAACTTTCTTACATTATAATATTTCTTCATTATATTCATTTTTTCATTCTTTACGTGTAATTTTATACTGGAAATTTATGTATTTATGAGAGAAATATCGTAAAAATGCGAATTCTGTGATATTCGAAACTATTAATTCTATTCCAAATATTCATCAACTAACCATTTAGATATGAAGAGGATGAAAAATGTCGAAGATAGGGCATTTCTAGATAATTCTACTGCCATTCAAAAATATAATTATAAGTCAATGAGGAATTGGATACGTGTTTAGGAAACTAACTTTAATTTCCATGTATTTTCCCTAATAAGATGGTTTTCCTCAAAATTACAATAGACGTAGAATGATTTAATTTGACTTTTAAAATAAATTCATTATTTATTTTATTATATTTGGACATTTTTTACCCTTTAGAATTTATACGTATACAGTATTTATTTCTCATATCCCCATTAGAAGTAATAATAATTCACCGAGATTAAGTATATGGATTGAAGCAATGTTGTATAACGTAAGCCATTAAATTTATGTAATGGTCACTTTAAATTCAAATTAAATTTCATTCTAATTTATAATTATATACAATGGAAATTCGTTAATCCAGCACTTATAACACTATATTGATGCCGGATTGACGAACACTTTCACAATTTCGCAAAATTCGATATGTTATATGCGATCCGAACGTTGTAGACATTGCTGTATGCTTCTATTTATGTACACCAATGGTTTCCAAACTTATTATGCTCACGAATCCCTTCTCATAGCAATAACCTGACCATAAACCCTTCATTGAGACCCATTTTCATAATAATGAAAATAGGTCACTATTATTTTACTTTATATTAAACCTTTCGCGGTTTAATATAAAGTAACCGTGACGTTGTCCATCATCCCGAAATTAATTTTAATTTTCCACGGATCCCATCAGAGGCTCCAGAGGTCCGTAGAACCACTTTGGGAAACATTGATTTACACCATTGGCCGAGTGAATAAAACTACAGTACTGAACACTGAGTTTGTCATGGGTTCGGGCCTCGCCAACGAGCTGGCTTCATGGAGTTTTCTGGATTTTCTTCACGTTTCTAACACCTAAATAAGAACCAGTTTTCGATAGAAAGTCGTTTCGAAAGGTACCTTCAATGGCAAATCGCCTATGTGTTTGATGCCTCATTCCATCAAACCAAACCTATTTCATGCACGATATATTATCATGTCCACCATATCGGACAAAATTTCTAGCATGTTGTACAAGGGAACTTCTGAACTTAAGTACTATACTTTTACTCAGAGTGAGCTACTTTACAGTCAGTAGTTGGTCGCGGGTTCACCTTTACCAGATCGCTACACACGTGGAGTTTTCCGGGTTTTTCCAACGTGTTCAAACAAATTCCAGATTACCAGTCATTGTGGATTATCGGGAGCCGGATTAGCGAACTTTTACTGTACAAAGTAAAACAACAGCATATAAATTGAATAATTCAATTATAATAATATTTAATCAGTCAATAAATNTTTAACACAATTTTCAAATTTGTTCGATAGTCTGTCACCTGATGATGGCTTATTCTATTAGGCTGAAAACGTTTATGATTTAATAAATATTCTCAAAGGTGTTAAATGTTTTATTAAATGTTTTAAAAGAAGATGAGTTTGATATTCAATTTATTAACAAAATAATATTCCAAAATGTTTACTTCAGAGAACCAACAAATTTTCTCAAGAAAATCTCTTCTGAGAGAATTTGTTGGTTTCTTAAAGCAAGAATTTTAGAATATTCTTAATATCATCGTACAAGATTCGCAGTAAATTATGGAGATAACAAGATAAAGTAAGTAATAACATGATAGAAAAGAGACTAATAGATGAAAATATGAGACAGAGAGCTAGTAAAAACTCATCAAAGCAATTAATCTCTACTTTTGGGGAGGAGAATAACTTAGCCTGACAAGGTTTAATTATAGAAATTTTGAGAACATTTTCAGTTAGACTTTATTAACTAATTTTGAGTTAGATTTCCTTGAATTATGTCATTTAATTTCTGTTTTGTTATAAAACATTACATTTTAAGTAGATTGCCATAACTTTGTATACTTTATTCTTACTTTAAAAATAATATGTGTTATACCCAAGTTCTTAATAAATTGGATAAAGTGTAATGAATGTAAATTTTATATAAATTAAGAAATTGTAACTTTTTAAGAATTTCCAACTTAATCTAAAATCATCTGATTTAATAGTTTCAATTCTGATTCCAAGTTTAACTTTAAAAAAATAAAGAATATGGTAATTTAAATATGAATATTTAATGACATAGACAATAAAAACAGTTTAAATAAAATTAAAATATATATATTTATACATTTGTGATTAATTTTAAAGTATTATGCTTTCTTATTCTTAATTCAATCACTTTGTTATAAATTATTATTTAATAAATTATAACAAAGTGATTGAATTAAGAACTATCTCGGTTAAGAAAGAGAACTGTCAAAACTATCTCAGCAATGAAAAAGGTATGTTATAATTGTCTATTAACATAATTGCATACACACCTCTGCTTTCTTGGAGATCAAAAATGAAATGAATTTCGCTTTTGACATTAAAGAAGAGAGGTGTATATATTAAAATTATTGAATAGAGAAACTGGTCAACTATCTTACAATTGCTGGATTTTTATATTTTATATTTTTTTGACTGGAAAAAACAAAATAAAACTGCTTATAGAATATGAAAGTGTAACTCAAAGTTTTATTTGGCAAATGAATCAAGTATTACCATAGCAACATAAAACAAATGCATATATTAACATATAGATATTAACACCAGCTAACAACTATGAATTACAGTAACCTTATCTGTGCAAAAAAAAAATTCAATTAAGTAATTAACCAGAAATATTTAAAGCTCATAAACAAATCTGAAGTCCACAGCTTGTATTTTATGTCAAAGAGGAAAGAGTATGTATTTTGTTCATGTAAGTTCTATAAGTTCATGTAAGATAATCTGTCATAGGTGAAGATCTGCCAATGTAATTTTCTATATTAAACAGAAAATATTATATTAATTAAACATACTGTATTAGTTTATTATATTTTAAAGGGTTTACTTCTCAATTTTAATACACTACAGGGCACAATTCTAGGACAAATGTAGCAAATTGAGACTGGAATCGATCTGTAGAGCATATCAATAGGAACAAAAAAGTCAAAGGAACCATGCCCGTATGAGCGACCCTTCGCGAGATATAGGCCCCCCAAAATTGCAGCGCTTCGGTTAGGTTTGTTTCGTTTCTGTTAGATTAGCTACATTTTTAGTAGACGTTTCTTTTTTTTATTTTGTTCAAGTACTACTAATGAATCAATAACTAGATATTTGCATATAACATTACAGAATACATTCAGCGTTATAATTTCAAATATCAGAAATTTGAAGTTCCTAGCTAAATCTAAGGTAGGCTTACAAATCAACCAAAAATGTTTATTTGCCAAATAAATTCTCTGCTGGAAAGTGCAAAAAGTGCTCAGTTTTGTAAGTTCATTGCCCTTCCAGTTTCATATAATGCATTAATCCATCAAAACATTTTCTTACTGTCAAAAATGAAGTTTACATTCAACTCTGTTTAATTCTATGTGTCAATGCCAATCTACTTTTATACACAAATTATTAGCTTCTTTATATTTTAAATAATTTACATTTCTCTTTTGATATTATGCAGCCAAGTTTCATGTTTTAATATTTAAATTAGTTTTAAAAATGTCATTACATTCAGCAAAATGTAATTCCTTTACTTTCTGTCATAGGTAAAGAGTGCCAATGTAATTTTCTACCAAAATAAAAGCAAATATAAGCAAAATGGAGCATATTTTTACATATTATTAGCATAAATTATTTCATAATTATATGTCAGAGTATTTAATATGGAATTTTAAGTTTAAAACTAATAATTTTACCTAATATTCCTATATGACACTGTGACGAAGAATATCCATCAGTAACGACTAACACGTGTTAAATAAAATTCTTTTTCATTTAATTATAATTAATAACAACAACTTTCGTTAATTGAGAACGTGAAATACACTTATAAATTAAATTACGCACTTAAATTAATTTGTCACGATTAAATTTATTGTCGTGAATTTAAAATTTATTTCAATATGACTTTCATTTAAAAAATATATATATATATACTGTATATTTTTTTTTCAAATTTATTCACGTGGGAAAGTGACAATGGCCTACTTACAATGAGACCTCTAGTGGTTCTAATCGAAATTAAGAAATTTTTAAATAAATATTTTTAACACATGCAACAATAATAATTTAATTGCTTTGATAAAAAGTTTAATAATAATGTAATTAATTTTATATCGCATTTTTCATTAATAATATAAATATTTCCTTTCTTTAATACATCTATTTAAATCTAATTTTTGAAAAGGTCTGAAACAGTAATCTAGAGTTACCGTAAATACTACTTTTTTCTTTTAAACCCTTTCCATCTTGTGGGCACTTAGCGGGCCTCTTTTAGCAAGCCCATTATGGATTCGGCCAGGCCCACAATGGGGTGGCCGGGTGGTGAGGGACGGGGCCCGACATATCTGGACGGACTATCCCCGAAAAACCGTTCAATTAGATGTTAACTAATCAGATTGTGCAAATATTTTGCACTGACACCATACTGAAAACGTTCTGTTGGAATGTGTATTTACGGTTTGTAGCTTTGTAGAACACAAATCTAAAAGCTTCTTATCGTCATTTACCCTACATTTTCATTTCTTTAAGAAAATATTGATGGGAGGATATTAGCAGATTTAAATTGAATGCTCGTAAGGATGGCGTACTCGGGCAGACCTACAATGGAGTCAGCAGCGAGGTCAAGGAATAGGAACAGTACTTCAATCTGTACTATTCCAAATAAGTTATGGTTTTCTGGATTAGATTTGAACCAAGACTCCAGCAATTTGAAACATTATTGTATGGCCATATGGCAGATAACCGAATAATAAATTGGCTCTTAAAAGTTCCTCCAACTCCGGCTACTACGGGACTAGTTAATTTCCTACCGACGGTTGATATGAATATATGCCTATTCGTTTAAATTAATAAAAGCTATTTTCTGGAAGTATAGAGCCCGTCGCGTGCAATACGTATAAAATTTTGGTATGAAATGGCCTTTATAGATATCTTTTTGATATCCAAATTTATCAGTACGTTTTCTAAGAAATTTCTTTACATGCCAATTACAAAGTATTTTTCATACTTCACATTTCATTAATTTGAGATTGTAGTAACCAGGATTGAAAGAATTTTACTGACTCCGACACTACAACACGATTCATACACGATATACTCCATCATTTGAATTAAATGCTTCAATTTAGTTAAATGATTCTAGTTTCTCCAAAATTCGTAAATTTCTCATTTGAATTACATTGATTTAGAAATATCTTAACATTAGGAATAATAACGAAATATCTCGAACAGAAAAGCATTTAATTTACACACTAATCATAATTAACTAATTTTTATAATTAAACATTATTTTAATTTGTCCAAAGCGTTGTAAAATTGCTACGATTCTAATTAATTTTTTTTTGGAAATTAACTTATAAAAAACGAATTAGTCGTGTTCCAAATTCAGATATTTTTGTAGTAAATTCGGGAGTGGAAGTTCAAAAATCCCTAGAGGAAGTTTCCACATTTTCCTCAAATGTCTTCTGATAACGCATCGACAAAGATGGCGAAGTTCTGACGGTTCCAAATATCTTTCTCTCAAATTCCATATAATTCCTCGTTCACTCAAATCGACGACGAATGAACTGCTTTTTGTGACACACAATGACTTTCCTGGCGAGTACTTAGAAAGGTTAAACGTCAAATCTCTTCTTTGTAGCTGAGGAATAACTCGAAGTAACAGTTTAACAATCAGTATCGATCTCTGAAGTTGTAGATCATTTATAATGTATTCTGTAGGAAGAGATTTTACATTGCGCGTCCACAAAACTGAGATAGTATATCGAAGATAACGGGAAGGATTCAAATAGTATTTCCAGCTATTATTGAGTAAAATATTATCCGGCTCGATCATGGATCCGTGTTGAAGTAACAATTGAAGTAACCTCGGCTTACCTCTCAACACGGTGGAAACCCACGGTGGAAGCGGAGAAAAGGAAGAGATGGGCATATCCGAAAATCTAACGCCATTAATAGTCATTTTACAATTGTTTGCGTGACGAAGGAAATATATTATCTTGGCGTATTCATTAGAATCTACGTTGCAGTGCGCTATCGGAATTGGCCAATCGTCAGTTTGAGGTTCTTCGTTTATAAAGCTAATATCCTGATTGTAGACGATTGAAAAATGAGATTCGAGTTGGTAAATTCGATAAAGGACTTGACACACCAAGTTACTATTGGATAACCACCAATAATAACACAATTTAGCGGCGTGATGCAACATGCGGCGTTCTAATACTTCGCTGCAATGTCTTTCGTGTTTGAGTTTCTTCCAACGATCGTGTAAATTTAATATGGTCATTACGTGATGTTGGCCGTCGTCTTGCTCAAAATTCAACACGGATATGATTTCTTGACGTATAAAATGATCACGACGAAAGAAAATTTTGGAGGCAAGTGAATTCGTACAACGTTTACAATTGTATTGACCCATTGCGCCAATGTATTAAAATAATATCTTGTTAAAACAATTACTTTGTTGTTATTATTTCTTTAACAATGATTAAAAATTTGTTGAAACATTCTTAAATAAAATTAAATAGGCCTATTGAGTATAATTAATAAAGATGCCATATTAATGTTTGTAAATTAAGAACAAGAATATAAATTTATAAAAATTCGTTGTGTGAGGTGATTATCGAAGGCAGGATAGTACGTGGCCAAATTATTGCATGAATTTATCTGTAGTTAGTTAAATGGGTTATTTTTTATTTCAGCAGTAATAATTTACAACAAATTAATAATTAAATTTGCGATGTAATTTCGAGGAATAGTTCATAATAAAAAACATTTAACTATTATACAAAGAAAAGCTAGGGAATTAAAACGAGAGAAATAGATCTTAACTTTCAAGGTGTGTCCACAATATTTCCCAACCACCCAAAACATTTGGGTAATTGGAAAATTGACGAGTAAACTTCCAAAAGAAAGGAATTAGCCATCAAAAACGATGTTCACTTAAAAACAGAACACTTAGGTAATTAGAGAGACAACTCTTTTGCTGATTTACATTACATTCATAACTATAATAAAATTTTGGATAATTTTATGTAAATATTGCTAATAAACTGGATATAACAATTTTACTTCATCACCTAATACTTGCTGAGAAAAATTGTTTATCAAAAAGCACCAAAATTATTAAGCTTCAAAGAGGGTGAACAAAATTGTGCCCCCATACACTAACACCTATACATATAGAAATTACTTTTCTGTATGTATGGGTGTACGTTTCAAGGTGTTCTAAGTCCAAAAATATAAACCTTGAGGGTCATTTTTTGCCGTACTTTCCTCTGTTATATACAACCAGAAAGTAATAAGCCTTAATTTTTAATTAATCACTCTTGTATGAATTTGAATATGATCCTGTTGACATTCCCCCGTCAATATAAGTAGAATAAGTAATTCAAGAAGTAATTTAAAATTTTATTAAACACTTCTAGAATTAAAAAGCAATTCTTGTTTTATGTGTCTAGAACACGAAGTTAGTTAGTTGTTAACGGCATAAAAAATATGACATAATGAAATTCAATTGAAGAAATGTAAAAATTTATTCTTTTGAAATGTCATTATTATTATTATATAATAAGAAAATACAAATAGAAAATAAATAATTTCGAGGAATTTAGTTACAATATGTGAATTAGATTTTTGAATTAAATATTAAGCGTGATATATATAATATCAGTATTATCATATTTCTTATTCTTTATTATCAATAATTTATTAATAACTTTCTTACATTATAATATTTCTTCATTATATTCATTTTTTCATTCTTTACGTGTAATTTTATACTGGAAATTTATGTATTTATGAGAGAAATATCGTAAAAATGCGAATTCTGTGATATTCGAAACTATTAATTCTATTCCAAATATTCATCAACTAACCATTTAGATATGAAGAGGATGAAAAATGTCGAAGATAGGGCATTTCTAGATAATTCTACTGCCATTCAAAAATATAATTATAAGTCAATGAGGAATTGGATACGTGTTTAGGAAACTAACTTTAATTTCCATGTATTTTCCCTAATAAGATGGTTTTCCTCAAAATTACAATAGACGTAGAATGATTTAATTTGACTTTTAAAATAAATTCATTATTTATTTTATTATATTTGGACATTTTTTACCCTTTAGAATTTATACGTATACAGTATTTATTTCTCATATCCCCATTAGAAGTAATAATAATTCACCGAGATTAAGTATATGGATTGAAGCAATGTTGTATAACGTAAGCCATTAAATTTATGTAATGGTCACTTTAAATTCAAATTAAATTTCATTCTAATTTATAATTATATACAATGGAAATTCGTTAATCCAGCACTTATAACACTATATTGATGCCGGATTGACGAACACTTTCACAATTTCGCAAAATTCGATATGTTATATGCGATCCGAACGTTGTAGACATTGCTGTATGCTTCTATTTATGTACACCAATGGTTTCCAAACTTATTATGCTCACGAATCCCTTCTCATAGCAATAACCTGACCATAAACCCTTCATTGAGACCCATTTTCATAATAATGAAAATAGGTCACTATTATTTTACTTTATATTAAACCTTTCGCGGACCACCTGACGTTGTCCATCATCCCGAAATTAATTTTAATTTTCCACGGATCCCATCAGAGGCTCCAGAGGTCCGTAGAACCACTTTGGGAAACATTGATTTACACCATTGGCCGAGTGAATAAAACTACAGTACTGAACACTGAGTTTGTCATGGGTTCGGGCCTCGCCAACGAGCTGGCTTCATGGAGTTTTCTGGATTTTCTTCACGTTTCTAACACCTAAATAAGAACCAGTTTTCGATAGAAAGTCGTTTCGAAAGGTACCTTCAATGGCAAATCGCCTATGTGTTTGATGCCTCATTCCATCAAACCAAACCTATTTCATGCACGATATATTATCATGTCCACCATATCGGACAAAATTTCTAGCATGTTGTACAAGGGAACTTCTGAACTTAAGTACTATACTTTTACTCAGAGTGAGCTACTTTACAGTCAGTAGTTGGTCGCGGGTTCACCTTTACCAGATCGCTACACACGTGGAGTTTTCCGGGTTTTTCCAACGTGTTCAAACAAATTCCAGATTACCAGTCATTGTGGATTATCGGGAGCCGGATTAGCGAACTTTTACTGTACAAAGTAAAACAACAGCATTTAAATTGAATAATTCAATTAATGCGTTTATAAAATATTTTTAAAATTTTTATCAAATTTCAAACAAAGGTACTAAAAAAAATCTATAATTTAATCTGTCAAAACGGAGGAAATTAACTTAAGAATATTTGTTCTGCCTTGCAACTACTCTTATTTCACACTCGCAAATTCTTACGAAAAGTGTAAAACGATTCGTGTACAGGTAAAAAGCTATTATTTAATTACATTTTATTAAAAATTTAGTGAATTTATAAAGCGAATTTATGTTCACATCTAACACATTCGAGAAAAATGTTATTAACAACGTTCATCGTTAGCTTATGCTTTACATTTTCTCTACAATCTGATGCTTCAAGTAAGCTCGGTACTTAACCGAAATCGTGTTTTTATTTTAAAAAAATAATTTTATAAATTAAAAATACGTAAAATTTATTTAAAGTTGGATTTAACTTGTTTTCAGATTTGCATCAGCCTTTGAAGAGGATTTTTCCAACGCCATCTTTTCCAGAATTAAATGAGCGATTTAACATTCCTCCTATTATTAAGCCAATACCTAAACCAATTTTTAATTATGAAAAATTTGGATTAATTAATAACGAAAGAAAATTTATTAACAAGAGACATAAATATTTACAGAATTCTAATCCTACAGATCAAGAGAAAACAACAGTAGAATGTATGGATTTCATTGCATTTTGTAATTTTTATACGTAAATTAGAAGTATATTTCGTTAATTTAATTTAATTAATTAATATATTAAACTATATATTATTTAATAATTTAATTTCGTTTATTCAACCTAATTTAACCTTCGTTGCATATGATACAGTGGCGCGTTATCTTATGGGCAAAAAGGGCAATTGCTTGGGTCTTGACTCTTTAACTTGAATCTTTCATTGAATTAACTTACTTCCTAACAGATAACTTCGGCAATAAATACTACAATCCATTTTTTAATAATAAGACAGAAGAATCAAATATAAAAATGGGTGATATCTTTGAAAAGCACAGACGTTTTATTCCTCCATCATCCGAATATTCAATATTGTCCATGTCTTCAGGTCAACATCAGGGAACGAAGTTACAGCCGATTAATACAAAAACAGATGGTAAATGCTTTATATCTTATTTTATCTCGTAAATATTTTTCTCACAAATAAATATTTGAAGAATTAAATAAGATGTTTTTCATTTTGTTACTTATTTTCCAACAGTCATACCAAAACAAAAAAATAAAGGAATTCTTCAAATGCAACAAGTTTTAAGTGGGTATTTTCTAATTTTTTATAAATGTTAGCTCATCATTTTCTTGATTAATTAATATTTTAATTAATTTCAGATTTAATATGCAAAAATTTTAGAGAAGAATTTGTACAATGTGGATGCGAACGTACTTGCACTAACATTAATGGAGAATGTACTTATAAACCGTGTGAAGCAAGTTGTTATTGTAGAAATGGATGGGTTCGAGATACAGCAGAAAACTGTCTTCCAGTTTCATATTACTGCAAAAATCCTTTAAAATATTCTAATGCGATAAATAATCCACATGAAATTCACGATATTTCATCTCAAGAAAGCAGATCTGCACAATATATGCAATTGCAACAATCTTCTCGATTGACTCCCGTGCAATTCAACAAACCTCGTGTGTCAATAGTTTGCACTCTGTCACATGAGATAAATTATCTTCAGCCATCTTATATTTATCCTAATGAAGTTTATGATAAATTAAAAAGGGGAGCTAATTTAATAACAGAACCGGATTACCATAAATCATATCGTGAAGAAAGGAAAACCTTTCAGAATGCAGAAAATAATTTAAAACCCGTAACTAATAGAAAATCAAATGGTAAAATTAAAATTATTATTACTTATTATTTTTTTAAATAAATTCCTTTATTAAAAAATGTTTAAATTTTATATAGCTCCTATCTGTAACGAAGACGAAGTGGCTGTTGATTGCATTTGCGAGAGAACTTGTGAAGATCTTCAAGGAACGAGGTGCCAATCAAGCTGCGAGAGAGGATGTGTTTGCAAAAATGGATTTGTGAGAATTGGCAGAAAATGCTTCGAAATTTCAGCGTGCGATCTAACTTTAAATCATGAAGAACAGAAAAAGATATCCTCGAAAGATCAATTAAGAAACCGAAAATCTTTAGACAAGACGCATTGAAAACTCTTGTTGCAGTTTATGAAAGTAAAAATATGAATATAGTTGAAATTAAATTGTTTTTTTCTAAGATCTTTCATCATTATTCGTGGTCTTTGCCTGAACAACCGGTTGGCCATGTGGAGTTTCTCGGGTTTTCTTCGTGTGTCTAATACCTAAGTAGATAATTAAGTTTCCCATAAAAGATTTCTCGGAAGTCGATCTACCAAAAGACATGTTTAATCGTTCATGTTTGCGTTGCCTTATTCCGACATTACAATTCAATCTAACATATTTATAAAACTTGGATCTCATGTGGAAAAATACAGTTTAAGAAAAGAAATATATAATTTTATTAGTATATAAATTGTATACTTTTTTTATGTACCTTTCAAGTGTTTCACTGTAATAATATTAATAAAATTTGTCATATTTTTTAAAAAATAATCTTAATTAATAACCTTCTTATCAATAACTTTCCAACATTATATTAATCTACGCTCAGAAAGGCCTTCCGTCCTGTTGGAAGTCCTTCCTAAGCAGTTGGTGGATATCAATAACTGCTGAGAAAGGACTACAGCAGCAGTTGGTAAAAGCCAATTCACATCTGATTACGCGAGAAATGAGCAAGATACTTGATTGTGAACAGTAACTGTAGTTCGTCACTTAACTGCCATTGGAAGATCTACAAGATTACGGATGAACATTGCGAGTTTTCTTCATGACAACGTAACACCACACGTGTCGAGTTTGACCCGGCAGAAGCTGCTCGGCCTCGGCTATGAGGTTCTTCCTCACCTTGTATATCCCGAGCATTGCACTATCCGATTATCATCTTTTCCGCTGCATCTTCTTGGATAGAAAGCAGTTCGCTGATGACGAGGAGATAAAAAAAAACTTTTATTCTATATTTTATTAAAATTTGAAAAAATATTTTAATGAATTTGCATTTTTAAATATGTATTAGAAACTAATTTATAATGTAAACGAACTGTTTATTTAAATATTTTAATTTTATTCTATTTTAATACAATCACGTTTTTACTGTTTTAACTGTTAAATGACAACGTTGTTTAACTTATTACTCTAACTTAACTCCTTATTATCTCTTAGCAGGATTTTAACTTCAATGTTGTGATTCATAACACGACAAAGGTCAAAGTGTAGTTTGTCATTGTAAATATTTTCAAAGGTTGAAACCAAAGTTTTCACAAACAAACTATAACTACAAGCAATTGTTTATTGCGACACCGTTACAATGCCGGGTTGCAATTTTTAAATTATTTAATTTAAAACATGTGTTCTCAACCTCAAATTAGTAGTGGCTTGCCCCTGTACATCATACTTTTTCTTTAACAATAGAGTTGTGCCGGTCATCTATTAACTGCTTTCGGGAGGAGGGTAGTTTTGAATTGAAAAAACGTGACTTCCGGTTTACATCGAAAGTTCGTATATAGTTAATTGGGGCCTTCTGTCCCTAAGGTTTCCATATCTGGTCTCGGATTTCATCTAATTCCGTTTTCGAGATTAAGATAGGCGAACAGAGGATAGCGGAAATTTAGATGTCTACAATTTTTTCAAATTGCAGCCCCGAGGTCACGGGTCGACGCGAACTAACGGATTGCAATGTTTAGAATTTCCATCAGAAAAATCCAGCTTTAACTCTGACTCTCGTAGACATGACAAAATTTGGAAATAAATGTTCCTTCGAAAGCAAAATTGTCGCATTGTAAGTAATGAAGGCAAAATATATACATACAAATAGTAATAATAATAATAATTCTTAGCCGGTTTTCTTTACACGTCTAACACTTAATAGAACCAGTTTCTTAGAGAAAGTCCTCCGGGGAAACGTCCTCCTTGGCAAATCACCCACGTGTTGCGTTGCTTTTATCCAATGCATTACGGATCTAATCCATCTTAACATGAATTGGATCTGTAATGCATTAGATTAATGTAATAAGTTCTAATAATAATATATTATTACATATTTAAAAACTTGAATAAATGATTGTTAAACGTACAGTATTCGTTTTCTAATATACTGTATTGAATAATGCATTATTTGGAACGTTAAAACACCATATGGCCAGCCCATTTGCAAAGCCACGATCAACTACGTGTTCAGTGGTTTTACCCACTTGGCCACTGATGGGTAATGAATTTGTACGATAATTATTAAGATAAATAAGATTTTTATTTTCTACTGCTAAGGTCTGAATGAATTTTAGTATATAAATTCTAATTAATTACAACAATAAAATCATTGAATCCATTCAGGATCTGAAGAAGATAAGATGAGGTTTGGATATAAGACCCCACTTTCCATCGAAAGCGTTAAAAAAAGAAAATCACACGCTTTACTTAATTAATATTGTTTACTAGTTTATTAATATAATATGTCCTAATTTTTCTATAATTTTGAAATGAGTAAACTATCATAAAATATAAAAAAATAAATATTTTATTTACGAAAACAACGTTCTAAAATTAATAAAACCGGTTTAATAAGTGTTAATAATATAAAATTTTTTCAAAAGACGAAGCTTATGTAAACAGTTTTGTGTCAACACACGAATGATATTTAACCTTTGGAATTAATTTTATTAAATGGAAATATTTACTGACATAATTTATAAAATAATTTCTGAGAAGGATAAGGATATTGTGACATCTTTTTCTATAATTTAAAATATATACAAGTTGCTTAGACATAAATTAAAATTCGCAAGTGAAAACTTACGTATAATTAATATTAAAGATGAAATATTTACTTCTCATATTTGCAGTAATTTTGATAGAAAACGTTGAAAAACATTCATGTGGTATGTGGTATTTTTATTTTAAATTATTTAATTTAAAACATGTGTTCTCAATAGCTCCTATCTGTAACGAAGACGAAGTGGCTGTTGATTGCATTTGCGAGAGAACTTGTGAAGATCTTCAAGGAACGAGGTGCCAATCAAGCTGNTTTATTAAATGGAAATATTTACTGACATAATTTATAAAATAATTTCTGAGAAGGATAAGGATATTGTGACATCTTTTTCTATAATTTAAAATATATACAAGTTGCTTAGACATAAATTAAAATTCGCAAGTGAAAACTTACGTATAATTAATATTAAAGATGAAATATTTACTTCTCATATTTGCAGTAATTTTGATAGAAAACGTTGAAAAACATTCATGTGGTATGTGGTATTTTTATTTTAAATTATTTAAAAAAAAAAAATATATATATATATAATACAGGGATTATTTTAAGTAAAATTTATTTTAATAAATGATGAAAATTCTATTTTTATTTATTTTATTAATTTTCTTTGAATTCCTTTTCTCGCTACTCGGTTCCCTTATTATGGGCCTGGCAGAATCCTCAATGGATTCGGAAAAAGGCCCTGTTAGTGCCTATTAAAAATAAAAATAAAACTGCTGAAAACTTCGATTTCTATATTTTAAAACGTCGATGGAGAAAAATTACTTTTTAAAATGGGTATTGTTGTTTTTCAGCTGTGCCATGTGGGACTGAAAATGCTGTGTTCCTTAGCTGTGCCAATGAATGTACAGTTCCTCTGTGCCCGGCAGAAGATGACATTAGACAAGAAAAGTGCAAGAATTTGCGACCAAAATGTTCTCATAAAAAAGTATGTTATTGTCGTCAAGGTTATAGAGAACGTATGGGAAAATGCGTACTTTGTTGAAGCAATGTAAGTGAATATTATTGTATGTAAATTAGATACAATAACCATCAATTAAATAGAAAAATGATGTAAACTTTAATAATGTTTGATGTTTTCTGAATGAAATTTATATACTATTTAAAATAATTAACAAACAAATAAAAATTATCTATAGATTGAATACATTTTCTATTCTTCTTTTCAATCTGTTATTCTAAACATTTAAAATGTACTGTACATAAAAAAATTTATTTATAAAATAAACGACTAGAAATAACTATTATAATCTTTTACAACATTTAATTTAGTTTAAATTTAAACACATTTTAAAATTTATAGTTAAATTTAAACTCAATAGCCTCAATAGTTCAATTCTAGAAGTTGAATAATTGTGGGTTCGCGCTCTTCTATGTGGCGGCCAAGTGGAGTTTTTATGTTTTCTTTACATTACACCTAAATAACATCTAAATAGATCCTAGCTTTTTATAGAAAGTCCTCCCTCTTTAGATCGTCCACATGTTGCTTTACAAACATCACGAAGATCGTACAGATAGGATTAAGACGTGGATCCTCATAGCGGATCCACGCACGAATGTAAGGATCATCTTCAATTCTATAAATACCATCATGTAAGTAAATCTGTTGAAGATTTCATTCTATATCCGCTATTCAGACTTATCCATCCATAATGGAACAAACTTGAGGCTTATCTATACTCCATAATGGGAGTGCCAGTCTCGGATATTTCGAGTTCCGAGTGTCATTCCCATTGTGTGCGTGAATTGAACACAAGATGGGCTTGATTAAAAGTTCATCATTCTGTCCACAGAGAGGTAGGAGTAAAAATAACAAGGTACAGTACAGTAAAAGCGTTACATGAATCAATCTTTGAAGTTTCTCAAATGTAATTTGCTCTAGTGTTTGATTGATAAGTAAAAGCCAAGAACACAAAACAAGTTACGAAATTGTACTGTATGCCTTTAAAAAATAAACGTGTCTGAAATGCATCCATTTAAAGATGGTCGTCGTTGGAAGGTAGTGAAGGTTCGACTGTATTTTCAATCTTTCAATTAAAATTTTGTGTGTAAATTACTTAAACAATATTACGCAAATAACATATATTAATATTATTTGCTTGTAAACATTGATTTAACACATTTATTACAATAAAACGTAGACCTTAAAGTACAGTCTGATCATAAAGTCCCTCCACAGCGGGCGAGGAAACGGAAGGAAGAAAGTAATTGTCACCACTCGATTGAGCCACTTGTGTGTGACCACTGTGGCTTTATTACCATCGCACTGTAGACTAATTAACATAATAATATAATAAAATTAATACTTAAAAAATTTTATTTACAGTTCTTATTCTCTATTTTTACGTTTTGGAATAAAATATATCAAAGTTAAATATTTAAGAAACGATAGTTTTGCTAATGTGTAGTAAAGATATTTCTAAAAATAATATGTCGAAATCCATAAAACTGCTAACCTCTCCAAGAACTAAATGTTGTAATTAATTTTAGGAACGTCTCGGTTGTTTTAATAATTCTAAAAAATGATAATTAAAATAATAGACACGATCCTAAAATAAATTCTGAGAATTTATAAAATTGTTTACTGTTTTATAAGAATTAATTGCATAAAAACTAATAAAATAATTTTATATTAAACTAGCTGCGAGTACCTGGTGTTGCTCGGGATTTAAGTGGATGAGGGTTTGATGAGGTTAGATGCAAGAAAGTGATAAAAAAAAACCAATAGTTTCAGCAACTAAAATGTATTGTACCTTTATTTATCTGAATATTTAGAATAATGAAATTGCAATGTTATGGTGAAGATTGCTCGGGCTTTACTGAGAGGAGTCGGGCTTTAGGAGTGGTTGGAGATAAGACACCCACAGTATTTTTTCTAAGATATTGAAGGATAATCGGTGCCAAATTCGTGCGGATACATTGAAATTTAATAATTATATTTTTCAATATTATAAAACCCCTTCCGAAATCCTATCATTTCGATTACGCAGGAATTGAATCGCATACAATAGTATTAACTTATAAAACATCGCGGTTATTTTTATTGTTTTTCTCTTTTTGTGCGTTTTTAAACAATTCTAATTAACTTGAAAATATTTTAAGGTTTTTTAAATCTATTTTTTAAATATTTAATCTATATTTATTTACAATCAATTGCATGCATTAGAATCATTCCGGACACAACATCATAATAGAAACTAAACTGACGTAAAAAACTTCATGCATTCCTAGCATAATGGAAACACTATACTCAAGAACAAACATTTAATAAATCAATTACGCCTTTTTTCCCTATGTGTCTTTTTAATTATACCCATCATGGATCTCACTGTTTCATAATGGAGGCCACCGGATGATGACGGATTACATACGATGTATTCCAATTGCCAATTGGATAAAATTCACTGTACACTGGTCGCGGATTCTCGTCTCACTAACGAACTGACCAAGTGGAGTCTTTCGGGTTTTCTCCACGTGTTTAACATCTAAACACCTGAACAGTTTATCTTAAAAGACCTCTCTGGAAGCATCCCACTTGTTACGTTACACTACAATTTAATTTGATGTATCCGAGACGCAAAGAATTCCCAAGAAAAATTCCTGAGGTTGTTTGCTCGGATTCCATCCCGGATCCCCCAGAGCATTAGGCTGACGTTCTAATCATCCCATTCATAAGATAAGTATTGAATAATTTAATATTGGGCCATCCGGTCTAATATTAAATTCCATTATAATATTATATATACAGGATATTTTTTTAAAAATTTGTATGTAAAAATATAATGTTTATATGTCACTGCATTATATTATGTTTACTTTGAATGAATCAATGTAAATAATGAATGTCTGTTTTCAATGTTTAATGTTTTGTTTTTACTTTTCGTAACAATTTAAGATGCGAAGAAATAAATTCAAACATAGTGTTGATGATAATTTATTATTCTAAAAATGTCTGTATATAATTTTATGATTATAATTTATAATTTGACTGAATTAGCCTTTAAAATTTCATAACATTAAATGATGCATTTCTTGGTAAAACGGCTTTAATACAGCTGTATAGACAAGCCAATGACAGAGTCCATTGAAAGTAAAACGATCTATATTATTGGCTTGCTTATCGAGCTGTATTAAAGCCTCTTTATCAAGCTACGCTCCCTTCCTATCGTATTTTTCTTTCAGTTCAGTTATAGTAACGGAATCTATCGAATGTTAAAAAAATGAAATTTCTATTTCTTTTTGGATTTTCGCTGATCATTAACATTTCATACGCGTACCGCTGTAAGTAAATCTAAATTTTTAATTCATAAATATCATTCATAAATTTGATTTTCGCTTCAATTTTCAATAGATTCTCCAGTACCATGCGACACTCCTAATTCAAGATTCTTACAATGCGCTACTCCGTGTACCATCCCGTCATGTCCAGAAGATCAGAACAAAGAAATATGTAAAAATATACATTACAGATGTTCTATTTTAGAAAGATGTTACTGTAATCAAGGCTATAGATCCACCGAGGATGGAAAATGTATACCTTGTTAAAAATCAAAGATATAAATGTACTTGTATATTGTAACTTACACTTATACTTTATATTAAAATATATTAACCACTAGTAGTAAAGCTTAGCATCAAAATAAAGAATACAGAGAATAAAATTGTCTATTCCCAATCGACTCCTAGGTTTGATTTGGTTTATTTGATTACACCAAAACAACGCGTGGACGATCTGACAAGGGGGATGCTTTTATGGAAAATTGGCCCTTATTTATAAATTACAAATGTAAATGAAAGCCGGAATACTCCACGTGGCCATCCGTTGGTAAGGCTCGAACCCACGACTGGTGTTCAGTGGTTTGATCCATTCTACTACTAGACTCCTAGGCCAGCCTTGTGAATACGGTCCCGAGAGGATTAATAAACTTTTATTATAGATTAAAATTTAATAGGTATGAAAACATAGATTCTTAAGTGTCTCAAAATGCGAATTTATATAAAATATATAATTAATAATTATATATTTTTAAACAACTTTCGAGATACATATTGTAAGAATTATAATATACATATTCTATATTCAATATGTTAATTATAATACAATTATAGAAATAAATATTGATATTATCAACAAACATTAAAAGTGGAAATCAAATTTATGTTATGTAAATTACCCTGCCCTTGCAATAAGATAACAACCATTAATAAATTTAATAATAATAATAATAATCAGGATTTTATATATTTTTATATGATTTTTGTACTAGTTTGCAGTTTTTACTTACCTCAAAAAATAATGATTTATAATTCTTGTGAAAATTTTGTATTTCTATATTTGTGAACTTGCACCCTCAACCTTGCACTTTGTCTATCTTTAAAAAAAAAAATAAATATATAAATAAAAATTTATTAAATTAATTCTTTGTTTTCAAGCTTTGCGTACCCAAAAATTTTTTGTGGTCTCTCGTGTTTAAGTTCATACTATTTTATACTAATAAAGATTTTAATAAAATATTATTTTAACGTGTCCAAGGATGAAAATAACTTCTTTTAATTTAAATATGTCAAAAAAATAACGCAGAGAATGGTATAAAATAAATTATTAGGTGTAAACTTCCGAAAAAGATATGTAAAGCACGAGATAACATCCAGGATGCTGTACATCTACTTTCTATTTTACGTAACTTTTTACTTTAAAAAGTAAAATTAATAAGATTATTTTTAATTAAATGATTTATTATTTGTATATTTAATTTATAAACTATAAAATATACAGTTCTTATAACAATTATTTGATAAAATATTTATAAAACTTTTTATAAGAGTTTAATAAGCAATACGTTTGCTTATCACCTGGACAAAATAAATATGTTTTTACTTAATTAATGCTTAAAATATAAGGTTGTAAATACAAAAACATTCAATTAAATAAACGGGAATTTAAAAATTAAATAATATAAAGAGGTATTAGTTTAAAATACTTATCTTTTATTCTTTATCCTTATTTATATTTTTATTGAATTCAACATTATATAAAAAAAACATAAAATAAAATAAAATTAGTTTCGCAATGGTTGTAATATTTATTATCAAAAGGAAAAATTTTTAGAAATTGACGTCACATAAATTATAAAGATAACGTGTTTTATATAAAGAAAATCTCATATTTATTTTATATTAATAAGTTAAGAGCATCATGAAGCTGCTACTGCTTATTCTTTTTACGCTTTTTGCCTTTTCCTTTGCACATCCGGATGAAGGTAAGATTATCTTTTATAATTTTATTTTTAAAATTTAAATGTAATATTTATTTATTATTTATTTAGTGAGTTGTTCCGATCCTAATTCTGTTCATCATGGATGTGCTTCGCCGTGTGGTCGTTTTTCTTGTGGTCGTCAAATCAGACCTAAGGGTACATATTGTATTGCACTCTGCGTAAATGCTTGCTTTTGCAAACCAGGATTCTATAAAAGTAATAATAAATGTATTCCATGCTAAAAATGAACGACTGGTTTATAAATTGTTAATGTTTTGATATAATAAATTGTTAAATTGTTTTGATATAATAAATTGTACAAAAATCCTGAATCAAAAGTTATTTCTAATTATTAAGAAGAATGGCTTAAAAAATCGAAGCCTATTTCATATGTATATACTGTATTTATATACAGATAATTCTAATATTGTTTAATATACACTCATTCTTATGTAATCTACTACTTTGAATTATAACTGATTTATTGTAATCACCAAGTTGAAATCGGATGAAACTTTATCGGTGAAAATGTAATAATTATGATAATAAGTGATTGCAATAAAGCAAAGGAACAATTTCCTGTATAACAACGATGCAATTTAAAGGAACTTTGTATTATGTACTGTACGACTTTCTCTTGCCTGGATACAAGTGGCGATACCGTCAGGCATATAGTGGCATGTAGAAAACGTATGTTCTCCTTGAAACAAACATGTTGCAACAGCAGCTGGAAACTCCTTCGTAGATTCGTCGTAGATGGCAAAGCTGCATTCCAACTGGTCTCACAAATACTCCTTGTGTGAAAAATCTGCACAACTGGAAAGAGAACGGAGTGTGGTAACATAATAGAGACATTCCTGCATAATTTTTGTTGAGTGCGGTGAGCATTACTTTACTAGAAACAGTGGCGTAGCGTAGTGGGGGCGGCAGGGGCGGCTCATTTTTAGGAAGCGGCAAAATTTCACAATAAATAATAATAATATCTTGTAAAATTTTGAACCATTTTATTTCATATTTTTGTCGGACCTACGATTCAGATCGATTGAAATGAGCACGGAATAGTGTTACCACCCGTCCGGTTTTCACCCGGACAGTGCGAGAATCGATTCACTGTCTGGATGAACTATTAATTTTGTCCAGGAATATCGTGCGCAACCTGTCGCCCTTTTCTTTTTTTTTCTGCTTGTACGATTCGTATTCGTACACGTCTCCAACATTCAATAGAGCAAAGTCATCTGTAGTTGTTTTTTCTTAATTTAGTTACTTACGTTACTCCTATCCAAGTCTTCCTAGTTCCTAACTGTAACTGATTTAGAACCGGCATGCACTGCACTTTATTCTTCGCATTGCAAAATGACATTACACATGCGTCAGGAACTTCTGTTCGAACAAACTCACCTGCCATCCGGGTCAGCAATTTTAAAAAGGTGGCAACACTAGCACGGAATATTTCATTACTTATTCTTGTGACGAAACTGAATTTTAGTCTTTTAAATTGAGATACCTAAATAAGGGGGCGGCGAAATTTTCCTTTGCCCCGGGCGGCTGACACCCACGCTACGCTTATGCCACTGACTAGAAAATGACTGCAGCGCTGCAGTGTATGACAGTGATCTCATGCGGTCCTGCGGGAAAGTGGTGGGTTCAAACAACCGGATTCGACCGGAAACACCGGTTATGATAAAACTTGGAGTGCCAGAGGTTAGGGTGCCCCACTGTTCAACCACCCCTACTTTAGAATAAATTTAAAATAATTTTTATTATTTATTGCATTTTTAAAATGCAATAAATGTAACAATGTGTTGAATTTTTTTTTTATATTATTTTTTTAGGTCACTTATATTTCCAAGTAAATATCAATAAAATGATTTTGCAATGCCTCGCAATATTCGTATTATTTATAGCTCAAATTATGGTTGTAAAGGTTCTGAATACAAAATATTCAATTAAATGAATGGGAATTTTAAAGAATTAAACGTATAACATTCATTCATTTAAAATACAATACTTTATTTATTTATCTTTAATTTTGAATTTATTTAGGGGAGACCGGGGCAACTTCGGCATGCGGGGCAAGTTTGTCAAGCGCTTTTTTTTAAAAACAAATTAAAAGGAGACTTTGGTTATAGGTTAGGCAGTTGAGTTTTATTGGTGGCTTGTTGAGTGTAGTGTTTTTATTGTTCTCCAACAAGCGTAGTTGAATTATCAAGCAAATTTTCATTTTCGTTCAATTCCATATAATATTTTTTTTCCATTTATATTGAATTGGCAGGTTTTGTTATAATTCCATGATAACGAAAGTTACTTTTCCTGTTAGAAGGATGTAACTTCAACTTATTCACGTGGCCAGATCGTGGCTTGGCATTCTGTTCTCAGGGTTGTACTTAATGTTTCGAAATCATGACTAGCGGGGTAAGATCGGCAACATAAAGCCACATTAGAAGCAAAGGATAAAAATCAAACAGATGATAAATGAAAACATGTTTGCATTTGTTATTCATGTATATATGTCTTTGAACTTGCATTTCGTTGTAATAATATTAAATGGGTGTTGGATTTGTATTTCTTTGTTTTAATAGTGAATTCCAACTTATACATTGTTAATAACATAATTTTATATACGTGCCTATCTTGCCCCATTACTGTTGCCCCTATACCAGGGGCAACTTTAATAAAAATAATTAAAATAATTACAACTTTACAAAAAGAGAGAAGTTGCCGATCTTGCCCCTATACCCGGGGCAACTTCGTCAATTTCTCTCTTCTTGTAAAGTTGTAATTATTTTAATTATTTTTATTTCCAAACTGATTTTAACCAGTTCTATAGTAAGGTAACATTCCAATAGACAATATGCAAAGCTTTTTTTTTAGTTTACAGCAGTATTTATTACACAAAATTTAAGTAAAGCTTAACATGCCGATCTTGCCCCGGTCTCCCCTATATATTTATTGAACTTAACATTATATAAAATAAAATAAAAAGTTACAGTTTTGCGATTGTTGTAATATTTAATACCAAGAAGAAAGATTTTTAGAAATTGACGTCACATAAAGTATAAATGTAACGTGTTTTATATTAATAAGTTAAGAGCATCATGAAGCTGCTACTGCTTATTTTATTTACGCTTTTTGCATTTTCCTTTGCACATCCGGATACAGGTAAGATTATCTTTTATAATTTTATTTTTAAAATTTAAGTGTAATATTTATTTATGATTTATTTAGTGAGGTGTTCCGATCCTAATTCTGTTCGTTATGATTGTGTTTCGCCATGTGGTCGTTTTCGTTGTGGTCGTCAAATCAGACCTAAGGGTACATTTTGTGTTGCACTCTGTTTAAGTGGTTGCTTTTGCAAACGACGATTCTATAAAAGTAATAATAAATGTATTCCGTGCTAAAAATGAACGACTTGTTAATAAATTGTTAATGTTTTGACTTAATAAATTGTTAAATTGTTTTCTACTCTTACAG